GGAAAACATGCAAATGTGTTACCTTATGCGTTGTCTCTCCAGTAAGCTGCATGGATTCATGTTGTTGGAGTTCATCTTCTAAGATCTGATGAATGTGATCAAACTCATCCTTGCACAGAAAGAGATGTAATAAATCACCACCACCAGAAAGCACGCTGCCACGTATCCCTCGACACCAGTGTGTAGGATTTTCAGCTTCGACATACTTTGATGAGAAGGGGGTTTGTAATCATACGTTATATTTGAAGAGAACGTTTCAACCAGAGTTACCCCAAATACTTGTGAAAATCCCTCAGTTGTCTCAGCTAGTACTGGGAAATCTGCAGGTTCACTACTTCTTTTTTTTTAAACCTGTGATCTCCTTGGCATCTTCCTTTTGGAGCCTGTGGGCTCAGCTTTGCCCACAGAACTATATGGGTGCTGAGTACGCTTGACTCACTTTATGGGAGTAACACTGGGTTACTTCCCCATGGCCTCTTCTTTTGAACCACTTATCGGGTCAACAGATTCCTGCTCCCCTGCAGCCTGCACCCATGAACCGGCACCGAGGATCTGCTAACGCTCAGGAGGCTGGTTGTCATCAATATTTTACACCTTGGCCCTAGAGAGGAGAGCATGCTTGTACGTGCCATGCTTTCTACCAGAGCTCAGAAAGCATTTCCCCACGTATATACTAGAGATGACCACGCAAAGACGCATGTTTGTACCCCGGCTTTTTGCATTAGCGAGGACGTGTCAAAAAAATCAATTATGCTTGAGCAGTCTAGCTAAAAGCTGCATTCATTTCTGTAACAGACAGGAACTTATCTGGACCTCCAGTCTCAGAGCGAAACAAGTACGTAACAGATCATTTGAGAATAAGAAAGGCTACACGTTCCAGTAAACACAGTAACAAGAGTAATTAACCTATTAACCTGTAACACTGCTGTGACTCTAGTGATTCGGTAAAACAAGTGTGATGCTACCCCAAACAATGGAGGGCTTAATCAACAGTTTCTAGTTCACAAGCATGGACAGCAATGACATCATCTGGGGAGAAAAAACAGCCCGCTTCAGAGAAACTGTTTTCCTGGAAAGTGTGTCTTTCACCTGGTTTTAAAAACACAGGAAGAAAGGTGCCCAGTATAAGAACTGCAGAGAAGTCGCCTTTGGTTTGCAATGAGGAGCGTTAAGCTTATAATGTGTTTTGCTCATGCAAGAATACATGTTCCTTTGATAAGCCTCACTCCTCTAAACAGCTGCATGAAAAGTGGGTAAAAGTCAGGTAGTTACAGGCCTGCCTGCCTACCAGGGGACTCTGGCACCACACACCAGGAGGGATTCAAGTAAACTCCACGTTGTTCTTCACGCGGACAGCCTATATTATCTCCACGTCCAAGCCTTTGCCTTGGCTCTGTCCTTCACCCAGCCCAGCTGCAACAACACTCTCTCCATCTTTATCCAGCGTTCAAGAGCAGATTGTTACCGAACCACGTTCGTTACGGGATCGTTAGAAAGAACGGTCCTGAGAGGGGACTGCTAGAAGTCAGCTGCATCCTCAGCAGGACGAGCTCCACGCAAGGAGGTTTGGACTCCACATCAGACTTGCAGGCATCTGCATCCTTCGTTTGCCCTGGCCCTACTCCCCTTGCCCAGCCGTGGCACTGAAGGAAGAGCAAAGCCGATCACACCTGGCGATGCTCGGTAGCAGACGTGGTTAACTGGCATTTCTTTGGAAGGTTACAGCTCTGCTTCCCCTTTTTAACTACAGGGGAGTTTCTATTACACTGCTTCGTAGGAAAACACGCAGCAAACGTTTGTATCGAGCGGCAGGCATTCACGGGTAGATTATCCAGGATTTGCAGAGAGGCGTTTTCTATCCGAGAGTGGGAGCCAGCGCATCAGGGAAGTTTCTCTGCCTCACTGCAAACAGATTCTTTGATTGAGGTGGGTATTTACACCTGAAGGTGTTACTGTAGCACGGATGAATCCCGAATGACATCCAACCCTACAACAGTTAGGCCCGCTAGGACTCTCCAGCCAGAAGGGGATGCTCTTGAGGTCAGTAAAATGCCAAGTGGCACAGAAAAGGCAGATAAAAAGGCAATTGTTCACCGCCTCTTAATAGAAGAGCTGGAGAGCATCCAACGAAGCCAGGAGATGGCAGGCTGAAACAAAGGACCTTCACGTGACAGTAACTGAACTGTGAAAGTCCTTGTTACAAGACGTTGAGGATGTAAGAAAACTGCACGGGTTTCACAAGCAACCAAATTCATGGAAGAAAAAAATTAATCAAGGACTACCAGACACAACGATAGCACCTCTGGTTCAGACACTGCGTGCCACTGGAGGCAAGGGGAGCATTTCCGATGAACTGTCATGACATATTTGCCCTCCTATGACACTGCCTTCTGAGGTTTTGCATTTGGCTTCTGAGGTTTTGCATTTGGCTTCTGAGGTTTTGCATTTGGCTTCTGGTCAGACAGCACAACACAGCCAAAACCAAGCCGAGCCGTGCCGCAGGTATGCCGAGCCTCCCTTCTCCAGCAAGCTCGCCCAAAAAAGGCCAAGAAGCTTTTCAACTCCAAACCAGTTTTATCAGAATGAAAAACTAGAAACCTAAAACTGTAGAAAGTTCAAGGTAGCGACAGAAGATGAGACAGAAGCGAAACGGTCTGTCCACAAGTTTTCCACCTACTTGTGCCCCAGCAGGCAGCCCTTGCTTCCAGCCAAGTCCGACTTCGGAGGTCACCAAACCCTGCCGGTCCCCTCTGTCCCCAGGAGGGCTTCCCTGTGAATCCTGGCTGGCTGCTCGTTGCGGGGGCTGCAGCTCCTGGCCCTCTCATGTCCCCCTTGCAGCCTGGAGCCTTCTCCCCTAAGCTCGCCCAGGCAGGAGCAACCCCTCTCCCTTGAGAGGGGCAACCTGGCCTGGCCACTTCTGAAGTGCCAGGAGGAGATTGGGAAAAAGAAGAAAAACTTAATGCTCTGTAGTCACAAATACTGCAGGGCTAAACAGGCTCTAGACCCGGCCTAGCGCAGCAATTTTTATGCTCCTGTTCATCCAACAGCCATTGCTGTCAGAACTAAGTTATGGATGAGGCCAGCAAGCGCAGCAATGCGGGAGAAACAGCTACAAGAGCCAGCAGCTCCCGGGCTCCCGTTCTGCGAAAGGGCCATATTGAGGAGTAGGTAGAGATCGGTGGCCTTGGCGGGAGGGCGATCTCCCTAACGGAGATGATCAGTCACTAACGGTCTCTCCAACACGCAGTAGCTGCTGCTCCTCCACCATTTGTCAGCGTTCTTCTTCTCGACCTCAGAAGACAGCAAAAAATCAAGACGTGGGCGGTCCTCTCTGACCTGCCAGTCATCAAGTCATGCTGTGAAATTTATTTACTGAACTCAGTTTGGAAACAGAGATTTGTTTAACTTCCATCCTCTAGCTCAGCAGCTAGAAGACAAGGGAAGAGTTTTAACCTCACCTTATGTATAGGGAAGGGTTTTTTCTTAAATTAATGACTTGCAGGGGAACTCAGTCATCTGAAATTAAATACTGGATCATCAGGAAGTCTGGATTAGTAGAAAGTCATTATTACCCGATGAAGATCCTCAGACCAACTATATCACAAACTCTTCAACATTCGCTCTGCTAAAATTAATCCTATTCACTATCCCTATGCAAGACGTGGGAGCAAATAAAGTGTAAATACGCAAGTGTGAAAACTAATAAAGAAATCAACTTCAGCATTACGAATCCACAGCGTCCTCATAGATAGGAAAAATATTTTTTAGTTAAAAACGTATCTCAAAGACAACCTTTTCCCCGGCGCGCTTTCAGTCAGCCTGAGCAGCTAAAGCAGGAGGTACCTGAAGCTGTGGCGCACACAGCCTGTCGATGTAGCTGCGCGAATTCAACTTCTGATCTGTGATCTCCAGTTTCTCCAGCAGCGTCGTTCTTTCCACCAGTAAATAAGCAATCTGTTCGCTGGCATTACTGTGAGCTATTTCGGACAAGCCTTCCTGTTCCAGCATCTCCTCGACCTCCTTCAGCTGGGCTTCTGCAAGACAAGGCTTTCTGTGAGCAGAGGAACAAATGAAGCCCAATTCCTTCCAGATCTGCATCCTAGCTCCTCTGACCACTGCCCACCACAACAGCCCTGGAGCTCACCAACCAGCTCATAAAACATTCAGCCTCTTCTCCTGCTTCCCACCTCCCTTTCTGCCTCCTATCCCCTGTTCGTATCTCAGCCCTGTTCCCACTGTCCCAATGTTTCTGATCTGTCCCGACGTTTCTGCGCACATCCACCACCCTGCCTGCCAAGCAAGCGATAAGACCTGCTACATCTAGACGGAGTTCTCCTGCCTCGCTTTAAGTGGGAGAGTTATTACAACCATTTTCCTCTACCCAGCGGCTAAGTTTCACCTGACCCTTTTACCCCCTAATACAGGAAATTAAACAACAGATTAAAAAGGCGTTGAGAGAAACCAGACAGACAATCACACAAAGGTTGTCTTTGGAAGAAGAGACACAAAATACCGCATCACTTATATCAGCAGAACATCACTATTTTCCTAAGGACTGTCTGGTAGGGAGGCGGATCTGAATGTCTCGCGTTTCCCCATGCACGGCAGCACCCGGTGCATTGTGCGCAGCCCGTGGTGGAGACCAGGGTGTTGGATCCCATGTGATCTGGTAGGAAAGCACGGAGAGGAACCAACAAGGGCCTGAAGCAGTTGGAGAAACAGCACCCCGTGGGCACAAAGGGACTCGGGGTACTTCTTCAAACACGAGTTTAGAAATCACTCCCTGAACAGCATTCCTGACCCATTCCTCCAAAACCAGCTATAAACCCAGGCTAAGGACTGCTTCTGGTAACACAGACCTGTTGTTTGAAGGTCTCCTGTAGGATTAAAGGAGCAAAAAAGCCTTTTAGAATTACAGTGTCAATTCCTCACCGGTTATCCCAAAATTATAGCTAGGAAGACTCCGTACTGGGAAAAACTTCGCCCCCAAGGCAGATGACAACAACATTTGCAAGAGAAGCTGGTTTACGGCTAGGCACCATTGTGTTTGTGCAACAAACAGTTGTTAAAAAGAGCCCCTCGTTTGCATGGCTGGAAATTTATCTGCCAGGAGAATACAAGGAACCTTTGGTCTCCCGCCTGGTCTGGGCAGCAACGCCTGCACTGGATCCAGTAGCTTGTTAAGCTAAGGAAGGGTTTTCAAAACCTCCCTGTGCAATTTGTATTAAAAAGAAAACCAACAAACCCTGCTCCCAATTTCTAGCCCAAACCAGACTATAAAGGTTCCCAAGTGATGTAGGATGGGAACTGGGGAGGGTCGTGGGTTTTGTATGGAGGAAGGAGGGATATTCA